TTCATATTCAAATCCTCACAATGTCCACTTGTTTTGTTTTGTTTGTTTGTTTTTTTTGCTGCAAACCCTTGGCCTTCTCTCAATGAGTGCGTACACATGCGCATCAATAACCCGGTTATGATCGGGTTTTTTGAGTATCCCGGTTTCTTGATGGTGCATGTATACGCAGTAACCCAGTTTCAGTAACCCGGTTATTAGAAACGACTTTCGATAGTAACCGGGATACTTGTGGCATGTAAACGCAGTACCCCGGTTACTGCAACATAAAGTTGAGTGCGCATGCGTCCAAAAGACAAAACACTTTCCAGTCTTTTCACCACAACAGTAGCGACATAAATAAATTGACCAACATAAATAAAGTGACCAAACGAGTGAAACTGTCAAATTAAGATCTGCGCTAAACCTGCACACGTACGACCTGCACTCGTGTGATCGCTGAAAAGCTAAAACATGAACTATCTCCTATACTGTAAACACACAGAACAGACTCACCATCATCAGCACCTCTTCTGTCACAAAAAGAACACACATAATCCACTGAGTCGTGTCATTTAGTCCAAAAGAAGCTGAACCACATCAGGAGCAGCTGTTTTTATCAGCGCTAACAGTTTATGCTAATTACCGATGCGGTCTTAAGTTTCGTTTCTGTAAAACGTAAACAAATGTGATCAGAGCTGAATTATCTGATCAAACGGGCTGATGTGGCTCTACAGTGGTTCTGGTTTGTATGTTGTAAAGTTGAGTTTATTTCTGCAGAAGATTTTAATGAAGAATCTGTTGGGTTTGATGTGTGCAGTGGATTGTGGGAGATCTCGTAGCTCCTTAGCTTCTTATGCTAAAGGAGCTCACGGTTTGTATTTTTCCTGGTTTAATGAAATTGATTTAAGTAAATTTTTGCGCTTGTGCATTTGTAAGATTATGTCAAGAAACCGGGATACTCCATTTGATCATGTATACGCAGATATGTCAGTATTCGGGTTACTGAAATGGGATACTCATAACCGGGATATGGCTAATAACCGGGATACTGATGTGCATGTAAACACACTCAATGAGCTTCTTGATGAAATCCCTGAAATGGTTTTCAGTTCACAGCTGTGCCGTGTCAGGGTCAAGAAATGAAAATCGGCAATCAAAGCAAAGAGTAAAGGCTAGTATTTACTTTTTTTTTTTTTTTTTTTTAATCCAAAACCAGTTTGAAGTTATTTTGAGTTTATTTTTCGTTAACTACATTCCACATGAGTCATTCAGAGTTTTGATACCTTCAGTGATCAAAAACTATGATCATTTATATCCAGTGTTGGGGAGTAACAGATTACATGTAATCAGAGTACAAATTATGAGTAACTGTATTCAGTTACAGTTACTGTTTCAGTGAGTGGTAATTGGATTACAGTTACTTTGTTGAAATAAATGCATAACAAGGCGGTATTTTCCTGTTTTCACATTTTGGGCTATTCTCTTTTTTTTTTCGGTAATTCCACTCATTGCCGGACACTACACCAGGTCTAAAACCAGGTCCAAACCAGGACTAAACCAGGACTAAACCAGGACTAAACCAGGTCTAAACCAGGACTAAAACAGGACTAAAACAGGACTAAACCAGGACTAAACCAGGTCTAAACCAGGACTAAACCAGGACTAAACCAGGACTAAACCAGGTCTAAACCAGGACTAAACCAGGATTAAACCAGGATTAAACCAGGACTAAACCAGGTCTAAACCAAGACTAAAACCAGGTCTAAAACCAGGTCTAAACCAGGACAAAAACAGGATTAAACCAGGTCTAAACCTGGTCTAAACTAGGACTAAACCAGGACTAAAGCAGGACTAAACCAGGTCTAAACCAGGTCTAAACCAGGACTAAACCAGGACTAAAGCAGAACTAAACCAGGAATAAACCAGGATTAAACCTGGACTAAACCAGGACTAAACCAGGACTAAACCAGGACTAAACCAGGTCTAAACCAGGACTAAACCAGGATTAAACCAGGACTAAACCAGGTCTAAACCAAGACTAAAACCAGGTCTAAAACCAGGTCTAAACCAGGACAAAAACAGGATTAAACCAGGTCTAAACCTGGTCTAAACTAGGACTAAACCAGAACTAAAGCAGGACTAAACCAGGTCTAAAACCAGGTCCAAACCAGGACTAAACCAGGACTAAACCAGGACTAAACCAGGTCTAAACCAGGACTAAAACAGGACTAAAACAGGACTAAACCAGGACTAAAAACCAGGTAAAACCAGGACTAAACCAGGACTAAACCAGGTCTAAACCAGGACTAAACCAGGATTAAACCAGGATTAAACCAGGACTAAACCAGGTCTAAACCAAGACTAAAACCAGGTCTAAAACCAGGTCTAAACCAGGACAAAAACAGGATTAAACCAGGTCTAAACCTGGTCTAAACTAGGACTAAACCAGGACTAAAGCAGGACTAAACCAGGTCTAAACCAGGTCTAAACCAGGACTAAACCAGGACTAAAGCAGAACTAAACCAGGACTAAACCATGAATAAACCAGGATTAAACCAGGTCTAAATCAGGTCTAAACCAGGACTAAACCAGGACTAAAGCAGGACTAAACCAGGTCTAAACCAGGATTAAACCTGGACTAAACCAGGACTAAACCAGGACTAGAACCAGGACTAAACCAGGTCTAAACCAGGTCTAAACCAGGTCTAAAACAGGATTTAACAGGACTAAACCAGGTCTAAACCAGGTCTAAACCAGAACTAAATCAGGCCTAAAACAGGACTAAAACATGATTTAACAGGACTAAACCAGGACTAAACCAGGACTAAAACAGGACTAAAACATGATTTAACAGGACTAAACCAGGACTAAACCAGGTCTAAACCAGGACTAAACCAGGATAAACCAGGACTAAACAGGACTAAAACAGATTAAACAGGACTAAACCAGGACTAAACCAGGATAAACCAGGACTAAAAGGACTAAACAGGACTAAACCAGGACTAACAGGACTAAACCAGGACTAAACCAGGTTAAACAGGACTAAAGGCTAATAAACAGGACTAAAAAACAGGTCTAAACCAGGACTAAAACTTAAACAGTTTAAACAGGACTAAACCAGGTCTAAACCAGGACCAGGCCTAAACCAGGACTAAAACAGGAATAAACATGATTTAACAGGACTAAATCATGCCGCGTGGACTGTGTCTCCTCTTCTCTCAACAATATTTTTAATACGGTTTAGTAAAGTCTGGACTTTTTATTGTCTTTTATCAGACAAAACATCTTATGTTACTATTTCCTCGTCTTTGCTTCTCTACAGCAAATCAAGTAATCCAAAGTATTCAGATTATGTTACTCACTTTAAGTAATTTAATGGATTACGTTACAAACTACATTTTGGTGTGTGTAATCTGTAATCTGTACATTTTAAAAGTCACCTTCCCAACACTGGATATATACGATATGTCAGAATTCATATTGAGGTTTAAAATATCGAGATATCGCCCGCCCCTAGCACGGACCATAAAGTGTATAAAGTGTGTGGTGAGGGTTTTACAGCCTTAAAACATATATAATAATGGTAAAATATACAGTTGACTACTTCATGGATTTCACCTATCGCGGGTTATTTTTAGAACATAACCTCCGCCATAAACGAGGGACCACTGTAATATATGGCCAATCCCTAATTAGAATATCACTAAAAAGACTATTTTGTCCAGTTGATTATTTATTCCACCGGCTGCCTACGCTCCAAGTGTCCAGAAATAATTGAAGTGGAGAAGGCCATTAGCACTCACACTTGGCTGGACACAGGTCACTGGAGAGGCGGCCATTTTGGCTCTGTTTCCTGACTACTGCGGTAATTGGATGATAAGAAGTGAGACTGGGATGGATCAGTGGTCCAGCAGGTGTAGTCTCTTCTATAAAGACGCTGGCTGCTATAGGTGCTTCGAGATAAGTGGTGAGTTTAGTTTAGTGTTTTCTTTATTTGGCAGGGACCATGAATTATGATTAAAATTATGATTAATTAATTTTACAAAAGAAAAAAGCTACTGCTGGGCCTGGTCAAAGCAGAAGTAAACTAGAAAAGCACTCAGAGAGCGCAGACCTCCGCCAAGGACCACCCCCATTGTTTATATAAATTGCAATAAAATCAGTCTTCTGGATCAGATCCGGATCAGCCTTTGGAATATGAAAGAGGATCCCATTGTCCATCCCTGAGTCTAATTTCATGGGGTTTGGTCAATAATTAACCGAGATATTGAGAAACAAAATTTTTGGCCCCATTTACCACAATGTTAACTAAAATTTCAAAGTGATCCAGAATCCAGGATTTCTTCCAGGATCACCCCCAAAATGAAATCAGTTCTTCCTTTTCACATTTCCAACAAATCCTGAAAATTTCATCAAAATCAGTCCATAACTTTTTGAGTTATGTTGCTAACAGACAAACAAACAAACAAACAAACGCCGGCAAAAACATAACCTCCTTGGCGGAGGTAACAACAAGGCCAAAAATTCAAGTTAATGCATCTGATATAAAAATGTATTCAACAGATACATATGTACTCTAGTTTATGAAACTATTGACCTTTTTTCTGTATCATTTTTGGTTCTAAAGTTCCATATGTTTTAAACAGACCATGTATGAAACATGGAACAAAAATATTTCCCAAATTTCAAAGACCTGCAAATCATGTAAATAAATGGATGTATTTCATCATATCTTGTGTTATTCCATCTTTAAACTGTTGATGAAGGTACATGATTAAAAAAAAAAACTGTATTTAAAATGATAAAAATGTAATATTTTCGGAACATCACTTACTTTGCAACACTGTTTACTAAAGATCTCCAAAATTTCCCCTTCCTCCCTCTTTCATCTCCACACTTCAGTGAGCTGGTTAATATCTGGTTAGTACCTCAGCGTGGAACAGTGTCATTTCTAATAAACTTTGCGCGATAAAAGCAGCTCTTCATTATCTTGTCAAATAGGCCATGTTTGTCACACCCACCTCATTAAACGGGGCCACATCCTCGCAGCTCTCCACCACACGGCTGGTGAACGACAGGCCTGGAAAACACAGAAGAAAAAACAGAATTATTAACACATTAAAGGAGACAGGGCGGCTCTATTATAGTCAAAATACTAGTCGCAATTATTTGGATCGTAATTAAAATCACAATTATTTTTCTTTGCAGTTGGTGTCGTCAGTATTAGAGCCCGACCGATATGGATTTTGTTGTGGCCGATATGAAACCGATATAATGGGAGTTGAAGCTGCCGATAGCCGATATAATCACCGATATATTTAGTGATGTAAAAATTCACTGTAAATCTTGAATTGTTTTAAAAAAAAACTTAGGTTTGGCTCTAGTTGATTTTAAATTGGGTTTATTTAAGCAACATTTATTGTTATTCTGACTCTTTACGTCATATTTACAGACAGTACGTCGGCCTAATGGCATTTTTTGCATCACATTCTAGACACTAGTGATGGGTATTCCAGTTCTTTTTAGAGAACCGGCTCTTTTTCTCGGTTCACTAAAAGCAGCTGGCTCTTTTGGGTCCTAAGCGGCTCTTCAGATTGTTTTGTTGCAACCAGGACTAAAACAGAACTGAACCAGGACAGAAAAAATACTAAACCAGGACTAAAACGGATCTAAACCATGTGTAAAATAGGACTAAACCAGAACTGAACCAGGACTGAGTGTCGGAACTCGGTCTCTATCTCTCTCCCTCTCTCGAGCACAAGATTAGTCCTGGTTTATTTATTTTATGCTGAACTACAGGCAAATATGCACGTTTTTTTCTATCCTATGCACACGCATAGGAAAGTTTCGCTTCAGCCGCTGCCGCTGTCAAACTACAACGAGTCTGCAGCGGCGTGAAGAGAAAAAAAAGTGAGAGAAAGAGAAAACACGGCTCCCAATCCCAATAAGGATCAGGCTCCCGTCGTTCGCGTCAAAGAGCCGGCTCTAAGAGCCGTTTCGTTCGCGACCGACCCATAACTACTAGCTAGCAAAAAAACTAGCGCTATTAGCCTTTAGCCGTAAATGCTGCGCGCCGCGGTAATTAATTATATGCGCAAGTATCATCATTCACACGTCTATTCACAGCTCCTTTACATATCAATGCAGGTTCAGTAACAAATATACGGCCAATATAGTCACTTTACAATAGGCCAGTAGAAAACAGCCTGTTTATGTGCGGGAGCTACAGCAGCTACTAGCAAACTAATGAGAAAAAACTAGCTTAAAAGTCGACATATTTCCAACACTCACCGCTCACACAGGCTCCTCCTCACATCACAAGTCTGCTCTAATAAATGTCCTTTTAATCCAGACTCAAACCGATTGTCCGTAAAAAGAAAATAATCTCAGTGTTTGGATCTGTGTCTGCAGGTGTAAACAAACACACGTGGTGACGTGACTCTGTGGTGTGTTCAGGGACAGTACGGACACACACAGACAAATGACTCCGTAGATAAATACTGATGCGGAGACACATATTAGGACATTTATCTGACTGTAAATTGGAATAAATGAACATAATATAGAGAGTCTAAGATTTATAACGAAGTATAACATGGGAAATATCGGCCCATATCAGCAAACATATCGGCCGATAATATCGGCCAACCGATATATCGGTCGGGCTCTAGTCAGTATTACCAATATTGCTCTGTCTGAAGCTTTGTTAAACTTTAATCTGAGTTTTGTTTTAACACAATCTGACCAGAAAGAACAGATTTAACTGGAAATACAACAGGTGAGATGATCTGCGCTGTTAAAAGTCTTTCTCAAATAACATTAGTCACAAGCGAGGCAGCAATAGCCAACAGTTTTTCACTTAGTCACTCTCATGTTTTTGTTGAAAATCAAACTCCTAAACAGGACCAGGCTCCTGAAAATGTGCCGTTTGGATCCATTTTGAAGTTTTTTCTTGAGTTTTCTGATGATTTTAAAATATATTTGACAGTGTTTGTGCATGTGAGCATTCGGTCGCCATGGTAACTGATGGCAACATGTAGAACACCCCCAGATTGATGTCACTGCAAAGTATCAATAGTCCTACTGTCAAAATCTAAAAAAAATATAGACCCTTTTTTTGTTTGAAGAGTGATTTTGTTTTTTCAGTCACCACAAATTTTGTAATCGAATAGAGCAATAATTGAAGTCACAATAAAAAATTTGATTAACTGCACTGACTTACATGGAAACATTCATGCTTTTTTTTTTTTTTTTTTAATACTCATCTGATGTTTAGTAGGGCCGGGTATCATAAAGAAGTGTTCAATATGATACATACCTCGATACAAATACCACGATACGATTGATACTGTTCAGTGAAAAAGGCTAAATCATGGGTGTGATACTAAAAGTTTACTCAAGTCCACTATGTACAGGTGTACACTTGGCTATACTGTATCTGGTGATATGAAATCTGTTTAAATACTTTGACAAAGTATATTTTAAATTTTTTTTATGATTATAGTACTCAGAACATTCAGATATCAGATGCTGAATGTAGTTTTTTGTTTTCGATTTTGCACCTGACCAGGTAAACTCTCATTTTAAATGAGCTGTTATAAACCTGTAAATGAGTTGAATCACATTTAAACATCCAGAAATGAAGAGTTCAGAATCTAAAGTTTCCAGAGATACAAATATGTCTGTGTTACAATTAGGGATGGGCATTCGATGAAATTTTCTTAATTGATCATCGGAAGAATTAACGATCGATTATTGATTAGTCATTAACGTTTTTATATTAAAATGATCATCATTATTATTACTATCTGCACTACTAATCTGCATAAATAAATTCAACTTTACGACATATAAACCGTAACGACTCTAGAGCCACATCAGCCCGTTTGACATTATAATGTGTTTAATTCAGTTTTGCGCAACTTTCACACAGAAACAAAACTTAAAACCGCATCGCTAATTTGCATAAACTCAGCGAAGATAAAACTACAGCTCTTGTGTCGCTGATGCGGTCAATTTCTGTTGGATTAAAAGACATGATTCAGGTGAATACAGGTTAGTGTGACCAGATTTGCGTTTGTCAAAACCAGGACACCGTACGGGGGGAGGGAGGTGGGGACTCGTCATCGACATTGAGCGACTCTCACCTGGTAAAACTTTTTCCCACTGGACACCGAAACATATGTGCTGCTTTATACACTGTGCACATGGACTCACACTTGTCCCGAACGCAACGAAAAGCGTGGAATTTCTTGTACAAGTCATCGTTAAATACACATTTGTGCTTCGGTACGTTGCAGACTGACCGACTGTTTGTGTCTCGCTCCTTCTGATGCAGAGACACATGTACACACCTGTTTGGTCACGCTACACACAGCAACCTACATTCGGTTTATCGATTAAAATTAACGTAATCAACGAAATTCTTAATGATCAATTATCGATTAATCGATTAATCATGCCCATCCCTAGTTACAATAAGTTCATGAGTGTAAAAATCATTTATAATCCCTCGTGGAAGTTTGTTTTCTTTTATGCAGTTATGCTCTAAGGGCAGCCCCAGTAATATATGTATGGGTTGTTCCTAGTCGGCGTCCAGGGGGGAAAGAGTTAAACATGTGTGAATGAAACAAAACACAACTCCAGGTCTGTTTGTGATGAGGAAACAACATTATAACACAGACTCTTTAATGGTAGCAGTTATCACAATGGTGCTGAGGGCCATGATTGAGTGTGGACTGAAACGGCCGCTTCCTGGTCCATTTGTGTCTTGAATACGGTGTTAAACTGCTCTCTTATGTTATGAGACTTGATGGATGGATTTTAAAGGCCCCTTGACAATGAAAATGATAATAGTCTGGGAGTTGATTATTCACTGGCCTTTCTCCAGGTTGTATCGCTCCAGAGCAGATGGAAATGTTTCCCACTCTCACTACACATAAGTGATATGAATAAACATAATAATGGCTATGAATGTTGTTTGTAAATGCCTCTCACCTAATTTGCATAATAAGCCTCGTAAAACTACTTTATAAGATTATAAGATACATTAAACCTTTTTTCTAGACTTTATTGAAAGGTGCACTGTGTAACTTTTTGGTTAGGGGTCTGTCACCTGCAGTGTTGGGAGTAATGTATTATAAAAGTAATGTATTACAGTAATGCGTTGATTTTTGCTGTAACGCAGTAATGTAAGGCATTACAGGGGAAAAATTGTAATATTTTACTCGGTACAAATGTGAGTAACGCGCGTTACAATGCTTTTTTAACCTGGATTGAAGTGGTGGGTTTTTCTTCATAGAAATTCGCTAAAATCACCGTGAAATCAGCAGCGGTGAAACGCCGGAGACGCGCCCTCATAGACCTTCAGTTAACCGCGGGTGAAAGGACCGACCCAGAACTCTACGCTGTTTAGACCTGGTTTAGACCTGGGTCACTTCTGGTTTAGACCTGGCTTACAGTCGTCCCTCGCTCTAACGCGATTCACTTTTCGCGGTCTCGCTGTTTTGCTGATTTTTTTAAAATTTTTTTTGTGTGCAATTTTGAAGCCTTTTGTTTTTAGTGTATGAACACGTATTGCGTTCCTCCCGCTGTGTCCTGATCGGCTGAGGGACTCCTGTCTCCTCTACAGTACAGTACAGAATATGTTCAGCTGCCAAATTTAAATAAATGTTCAATCTCTAGCAGTGTGATTCTGCAAGTTTTCTCTCCGACAAAATCCACAACGTCGACGAAATGTTCTGCACCGACAAAGTCTCCTGCGCTCACACCCAAAAGACAGAGGACGATGCAAACCATCGCACAAAAAGTTGGACTTCTGGACACGCTGAAGGAAGGTAGAAGTTACGCGCTGTAGCAGAGTTTTGCACCGGGTCTTGTACCCGCAAATAGTTGCTGAAATCAGGACCGTGAGCCCGAGCAGCAGGGTCCATAAAGCGCGATCGGGCGACAGCCGCTCTTACCTCCGTGAGGAGCGGAGCAAAGCCGCTCCTTTCTCCTGCGGTCACCTTCGAGCCCGTCCTGACAGTGAGTCCTGTTTTAGTCCTAGTTCAGTTCTGGTTTAGTCCTGGTTCAGCTCTG